ACCCACCCTCTCCCACACCCCATACACACAGCCCCCCACAAACCTCATGCCCCCACCCTCCTACAATATACAAGAGTAAGACTTCATTTTGAGGTATTATGCAATCATCTCTATATACACTATGCAAACATACACAAATCAGGACAAAAAAATTTTTTAAAATAAAATTAAAAGATGTTATTGTCATTGTTTGATTTTTAGTATATAATTTATTTTTTCTGGTTCCAAGATGGCAAACCCTCTTCCCAAAAGGAGTACTTCTGAGGGCAAGGGGCGGGACTCCCAGTGGCAAAGGTCAGGGGTTATGGGGTGGGACTTCCAGTCCCAGATGGCGACCAGGACCCTGAAAAGTTGACTGCTAGCCCCCATCTGCACTACAGCTACCAGTGACTGATAAGTTCCAGCTCGATTGTGGTCCCCAAATGTGGAACAATACTGCAGCCTTTAGAATTTACCAAGCTGCACTGTTACGGGTGTGGCTTTTTCTTACGGGCCATTGATAACTAACCTATGTTGTATTACTGCTTACATCCACGTACTACATTAAACATTCATCCTTTTACTATTTACATTCTTTATGTTGGTAGGCTGTTACAATGGTCCCCTTAGTTGTAATTTTAGAAGGGGTTTTTGTCCCCACATAATATGTTTAATTTTTGCTTTGAAGGTTTTTTCCTGCTCTCTAGCCTTTGTTGGAGGGCAAAGAGTAGGAAGCAGTAATTAATTTCTGCACCTTATGTTTTCTCCCTTCAACTGAGATGTGTTTTGAATTATATTTCACCATACGTCTTAACTTCTGCGTTTCTTAAGTGAATCTCATTTGGGATTGTTTTTCTGCCCATGTATCTAATCCAACTACACCCCTTCATATTATTTCTCTGTCCTAACTTGTGTTCTTAGTTTCTTTCCAATCTGGTGTCATCTATAAATATCATTAATGTGCTGATTATTCCCTCTAAATAGTTAGAGAAGATATGAAGACCAGATCCTTGTGGTATACCGCTGGATTCTCTTTCCCATCTCAGTATGTTTGTTCCTATATGTCAGCAAGACTGATCTTTGCAAACTCAGACTGTTCGATGCTTATTGCTATGTAGTGCCCAAGATATTTATCTCATTATTTTCTTTCCCTTTATTTGTTCCATTATTTTATTAAGCACAACAGTGGCATTGAAGAGGTGGTAACTGGCAAAACCACTCTTCCTTCTTTCACACATTTTTGTGCTTTGCTGTTAAAAAAATGTTTCTGTATGTCTGCTGTCCAATTTTGGAAGAAAATACAGAAGCAAAACCAAATAGCTTAGTCTGTGAAATGTGCTATGGTCTAATATTTTGTGGGGAAAGAGGGAGAAGCCTTGAAGTACTCGATTATTCATTCCTTGGGCACAGGGTTGTTTTCAAAATGTTAAGTACCAGTGTTTTCCTTCTTTCATATGCATTCAGTTATTATGACCTGGAAAACATAGGTCATGTCCATCAGTCTAGACAGGTTTTTAAAAATAAAAATTGTCTTTGGACACATGTTACTTTATGTGCCTGTCATACTTGAGATGCAGTATCAGGGAAGAACATCTGTGCTACAGCTGGTGCTCACAGTTGCAGAAAAGGAAACCCTTCCAGCTCAGAGAATATCCATCTTGTCAAAGTCCAGCTTTTTGGAAGAAATATCAATTTTAGAAATGTGTATGGCTAAATTAGGATTTTTTTTTTATAATTTCACATGAAGTTTTTTTTTTTCTTTTGTAGTCGCTGCAGTTCCTTACTAAAGCACATAAATGTGAAATGCAGTCAACTGATTGGGAGAAAGATATCTCTTCCTTTAAGGAGTTAGTGAAAGGAGCCATAGAAGTTGCCCATGGTATGTTCTGTCTTAAACATAGCTATTTATATTACTTATGGAGGTTGTACAGAAAATTTCATAAGCTCAAAATCAAATATATTTTGCCTTACCTATTGTACTTCTCCCCATATTGGAAGTATTGTGGCCATTTTATTTGAGACATATATGTGTTATTGGTTGTAAAACATTCTGTGTTGGGTCTGGGAGCAGTGAGCCAGGGTTCCTGACTTTGAGGTAGGAGGGGACTTTTAAAGCCTATAAGCCAGCAAATGCTCTGAGCGGTACAGAGTACAGATATCAGAAAGTTTGTGAGAAAATAACTTGTCCCATCACTAAAGAGAAAAAGATTACGTTGGGGTTTAGGAGATCTTCTAGACCCCCCAAAAACTAAACTCAGCTGACTTGGGATGCACTTTGAGATGTGCTCAGTTCCATATAGGCACACGCTTTTGGTGTACTGGTAGGCTCCTTGGGCTTGGCTTCCCATTCGTGGGGCTCAAAGAACCTTGGTCTTATTTTTCTTGATTACGGAGTGGAGGAGGAATAAGCAAAAATACTCTTTCAAGCATAAGCACTCTTAGTGCCAGATGAGCTGTTCTCCAAGTAGTTTGTTCCAGTCCTCATGGTTTGATGCCTCCTCTCCTTGCTCCACAGCCAGCAGACGGGAATAGTGGTGGCGTTTTAGGGCTAGTCTGTTGGCACCAGTGTAAAGACACTAATGTAGTTAACATCACTGTGACTTGGGCTCGGAGAGAAACCAAGAATGAAAAATCAAACCCAGATGCAAAGAAAAGAACCAATCCGCCATGTGTTGATAGAATGGATTGGATAATTCTAAATCTAGGGGAACAAAATATAGCTGAAAGATTTGGCATTCCTAGTTATAAAAATGCTACAGGTCAAACATCTTTTGATGAGGATAAAAGACATTGCAAAGAAGCCAAATGGCTTCTCCGTATCAAAATTCAACTCTAAGGATTTTGGAAAGATTCATCTGGTACACTGGTTCTTTCTAAGTAAGAAAAACAAAGTATTGCCAGTGCTTAAGATGTCAGAAGAAAAAATTTTGAGGCAAGCTAATACTTCAAAAAGCGTTAGTTCATGAAGGCAGACAAGGTTCTTAGTGTAAATCCAATATCTTTTATTAGGCCAACTAAAATAGTTGAAAAAATTATTTGTTGCAAGCTTTCGGGTACAAACACCCTTTGTCAGGTTGAGGAAGCGTCTGCAGTTGGTCTGTGCGCTAAGAAGAATTTTTCCAATTACTCAAAACATAGGATAATTTTTTTAGCAGACAAGGTTCTTTTGGTAAATCTGATATATTTTATTAGACCAACTCAGTTGGAAAAATTCTTCTTTGCAAACTTTCAGGTATAAATACCCTTTGAAAGCTTGCAAAGAAGAATTTTTCCAACTATTTGAGTTGGTCTAATAAAAGATTATCAGATTCACCCAAAGAACCTTGTCTGCCTACGTCCTTAGACCAACATGGCTACAGCCTACACCCCTTAGTTCACAAAGGACTTAGCAGTATGTCTAGGAATTTTGAAGGGACTCAAGAATGGGGCTGGTTCAGGTCTTGATGAAAATAAACAATCTCATTAAAATCAGCTATTGTAGTGGAGAGTAGCAAACATTTATTTTTAAAAGAGCCCTTGAGGTGATCATTAAAATTAAAGACCAATAAGTCTTACTTAAACATGAGGCTAATTGGTTGGTTTGATAATTCAAAATAAAATTAAAAAGCACCAAGATGATCTTGGTATGATAGGAATGCATCAGCTCTACTTGTGCAAAGCCAAATCATGACACACTAATCTCTTAGGATTCTTTAAAAGCATCAGTAATATTAACACACATGTCTGCACATCTTTGCACAGTGAACTATCTGCAGTTTAGTGTCTTCCCATAGGGAAGCCTGAGGTCACTGTCACCCAGGCGTGGCAGAGCCTGCCACAGTTGAGCACTCACTGGGCTGCTGTATATTCAGGTCCCACTGCACAGTGCGTGCACTTTAAGCTGCCTTTGGTCTCAGTAATTTGCAGCATTATCTTTTAATTTGGCCTCTCTGACGTGATTCCTGGGCATGTATTCTGTGCCTGTAACTCCTTCACAAAAATGGGACCTCATAGTTCAGCTATTTTGGGCCTGGCCCAGAGGGCAACAATGCTACCCCTCCTTCTACCAAACTTTTCAGTAGCTTAAACATACTTTCCCAGAGCTTCAGCTTGTGAGTGGTTTACGGTCACTTGCTTAGGGACATAAATAATAGCAGAAGCAAACAGGCACACGACTAATGGTTCCAAAAACCAAGCACTTTCTATTTTATCTGGCACAAGAAAGATACAGATATAGGAAAATACTGAACAGGTACATGCTTTTCTCACATTCTTTTGTTTCCTCTCAGTCCTCCATTTCCTCTAAAGGAGGGTGTCAAAGATACGGGCTGTGTCTACATAATAAGACGCTGACTGTGCAGATGTTACTGCACAGTCATTTACTACTTGCATAATCAAGTACTAAATGACTGTGCAGTAACCGGCATTACTGCATAGTCACACCCTGGCACAGTTGCCTAGTGATGCTTATTACACAGTAGCTCGTTACTGCAGCGCAGTAGCATCGCATCACAGTTAGTGCCTGGCAACGCTACAGTGCAGCAGGTCCAAGCTACTGCACAATAAGCAACTCATGTAGATGTAGCCACAGCCTATGGGCCAGATCTACCCCATAGTGCTTGTTGAGGGACTGGGAATTCAAGGGCAGGACAAGCAATGGCTGCATTAATCCCCATGGCTCCTTGAGCTGACAGAGCAGCTACCAGTGCTTCTCACCCTGCTGCCAGAATGGGGTCCAGATCCAGCCCATGCAGAGTCCTGTGATCCAAATTTCCTTGTCTCTATGAATCCTGCTAAGTTTGACGTAGGGTGCAGGCAGGGATAAAAGTTTAAACATTCCCAAGCTCCCCAGCTAAAGCAATTCTTTTTTTGAAGCATTTACAAGTGCATTTGCAGCAGTTTGAAAATTCCAGTCTTCTTTGGCTCCATCAACATACAGCTCTGCTCTCTGTTTCCCCTTCCCCATACAGACAGACTTGGCTTAGCATGTACTGATGTACTGAGGCTTTCACTAGTAAGGCATTTCATAACCGCTGCCAGAATACATAAGTTGGATCTTGATTGATTCTCTGAATTGTTCCATTATTGATATTGTTTTATAAAACAGAACTTGAAGGAATGTGGTATGTATGTACTGTGTGTTTGAAGTGCATAGGACTTGAAGAGAAGTGAGATCTGTTAATAACAGTGGTGAACATGTTTTGTGAGGGACCTGGGAGGTGTGTTAAAGAAGGATACCTTGATCTGACATTTCCTTGTGTAAGGGTGTGTGTGGTTGGACCTTAAGTAAATTTACCTATTTTTAATATTTTTTTTTTCTCTGTGTGGAACACTGTGTTCAAAATATGTATAAAGGTATTCAGGGTGTGGATGAATTACTGGTTTTTCAGTTTAAGATGATCACCAGGATGTAACATCTTTGTTTTGACTTCTAGTGGCAATACGGTGCAGTGAACACAAATCTAATCATCAAGAAGCTTTGCAGGTACTTTCTTCAGCACGGCTGAATCTGCGTGGTTTGTCATCCAAAGCAAAGGTGAGACTGGGTTAGAAATGGGTTAAAGGGAAGTTTTTATTATTGCTCCTTGGGGCTGCTTCCTAATTGAAAGCTATTTATAAATTAGATAATGCTTATCCATCACAGTAAGTTATAGAGGACTGTTCATCTCTTCATCATTAATTGTCCCTGTTAGAAGCCATCCCTAACCTCCAAACTTTGCCTGAACTATTAGCAGTTCATTTTGCCCTTCCAGTCTTTTCCTTTGTTTAAAAAATATCCCCATATTTAAAAAGTAGTGTTGCCATGTGTCTGTTCAACCTTAACTCCAGAAGCACCTCTTGTTTTTCCATAGATCTGTTTAGTCCGCATAGTGAGTAAGTATTTGTGGCTTTTTCCCTGTTTAATTTTATTTTAATAAGCCAAACCACTTTTATTTAATAGTATTAAGACTGGTCCCTGGATTTAGACCTCACAAAGAAAGAAAGTAAACCAAAATAAAGAGAAAATATTTAAAGAGAGAGCAAATTCTTAAAGCTTCCTGATTAATATGTGTTACGAAAAAATCAGTACAGTTCCTGAGAATGTAAATTGTGGCCATCTACTTGGTTAGTATTCTTAAACAGGGTTAAGTAAGTAGCAGGTGAAAGAATGAGTCAGTATAATGTAACTAGCTACATTCGATTGAAAGGGCCAGGCTTAGATAGGTCAGATTCCTAGGTAAGCTTCATGGACTGACAGAAGAGTCACCTTTTTACTTGTTAAATGAACAAATTTCTGTTTTTTGAAAAGGAGCTTGTTTGTTCACTGGCAGAGTACTTTGATCCAGGTGTCCGTAGCATGTTTTTTCTTACACGTGTGTCCATTTTATTACAGAGAATAAGAATTCTTATTTTAATGGAGTGGGTGTATGTATGCTCCAGAACAATGCTTGTACTCTGGCTTAGTTTTCATCCATTCAGAATTTTAGGCAGCAAGTCTGTCTTTGGGTCATTAAAATGAATGATTTACACTCTCCCTTTTAATCATAAGCAGGAAATGTATGTTTAGAGTCGCTTTTGATCACAAACAGAACATGCACAGCCAGACTCTGTCTGGCTAATTCATGTTCAGCCCTCAGTTCCATCTATTTCAGTGAGACTAACCTGCAAAGGAAGGTTCTACTCAACTCAAGGGTTTTAAAGGGTTGTGTACCAGGCAGTGACTCGATAAATCTTGAAATCTAATGAGACTTCTGCCATTAATGTTATATGGTTTTAGGTGCAACATTTAACCTCTGTCTGCCTTGGGTTGCCCTGTATATAAAGTAGGAATCATAGTGGTTCACATGATTTGCTGACAGCAAAGCTTTAATGTCAGAAACCACAGTATGGGTGCAAAGCATTTTTATGACATTTTAGCATCTTGTTTCTGTCTCATGAGTTAATTATAGACAGATGCATGCATCTACCCACTCATGTCTTGACATCAAATGCTACAACATATTTATTTTGGCTATGTGGAACAGATGAGACCATATAAAATGGTGCTAAGAAAAGTGACAGTTATTTAAAACACTTGCAGATTTCTACTTTGCCAACTGATTGGTTTGCTGAAGAGTGCTTTGTGCATGGTAAGGAGGGCCTGATCCTGCTCTCATTGAGCTTAATGGCAAAACAGTTTAGATTTCTGTGAGAGCAGGAGCAACCCCTAACAGAAGCCCAGTTTTCTGTGACAGACTCAGACTTACAGACAGGACAGCATCAGGTGTGTTATGAAGGGCACATGTTCTGACTTGGAGAAAAGAGTGATTGTCATTTGTAGGTACTCTGCCTAACCACTGGTGTGTCAGTTTCTGGAGAGAAGTAACCACATGCAACACAAATTCACATGGGATCAGAGATGATGGTCTGGGAATTGTGGCAATGGTAGTGAGGGAATTTTAATTCAATATCTTGTTTGGATTATGATGACCTCAAATATAATTAAAATTGGTTTTGTTTTTATTATGCAGCAACTTTTTGCAGATGTAGAAAGTGGCACGGTTTCCAGTGAGTTAGCTGATGAAGTGACAACTATGGACAACTTAATTGTTGAACTGCAAGGACTGAGCAACCAACTGAGAAATCAGTGCTGAGATGAGAATTAGGTTTTGTGGAAGAAAGACGATGATGTACTTCATTTGCTACAGTTTCTGTTAATGGAAATGCAACATCTCTAACATATAACATGACTTCCTAATATTTTTACATATGACTCTATTGTTCTTCTGGTCAGCTTTACTAAGCTGTTAAATTACTTCTAAGGCCAGGCCTACTTTTAAAGCTGTATATCTAGGTCCCTAGGAATATTTTTTTGGCATAAAACATTATATTTGTAAGACATTTATTCAGAACTAGTTCTGCCTATGTGCAGTTGGCTCAACACCATTCCTGTATAACCATTCTAATATTATAAAACCCTTGGTCTACCTATCCATAACGCTTTATTCGCATTTTGATTGGTTGACAAAGCGGAAGCATTTGAACAGCAGGTGGCGACAAAGCCACCATGACAGGGGTGACGGAGCAGGGGGGCAAGGTCCTGGGCCGAAGTGGCAAGGGGGAGGGGGAGGGGAGAAACAGCCCCTGCCCGGGGGGAGGAGGGGAACAGCAGGGGCCCTGTGATGGCGGGGACACAAGGGATGGAGCGAGGACACAGGGATTCCCCCCTGCCCTGCTCCCTGCAACCAGCAGCGATGGAGCAGAAGGTGGGGGGGCTGGGCCAGCAGTGGTGCCCCTCCCCCTGCCACTCCCTGCAGGTCACAAAAATGGAGTGGACAGAGGGGGCAGGGCCAGTGGCACTGGCCCCGCCCCTTCCATTCCCTGCAAGGTGCAAAAACGGAGGGGTGGGCGAGGCTAGTTTCTGTATAATTTTGCAGAGAGGAGGGCATAAAAATCTGAGCAACACAATAAGAATGTAATGCAAAATAACTTTGAACTATTTTTAGCTGGAGAAATCATATTTAATGGTGAGATATGCTCAAGTAGTGAGGTGATTATTCGAAGGTGACTATTGATATTAATGTTTTTTTGTTCTAGGTAGTCACACAATATATAACTTCAGCCTGGACCCTGCAGCTGGCTCCACCTGGAGTTAGTATTTTTTTTT